CATGTAAAACTAATTTTTTCGCATTAAATTTCTTCATCTCTGTCCATGCATACTTACACTTCTCCTATTGCTCCCCAAATTGCAATCTTGGGCTAGCTTCTCATCATAGGCAAAGCAAATTGGAAACAAACAACTACTGCTTTTTTTTTTTTTTTTTTTTTTTTTTTTTTGCTACAAGGTCTCACTCTGTCACCCAGGCTGGAGTGAAGTGGTGCAATCATGGCTCACTGCAGCCTCAACCTCCTGGGCTGAAAGGATTCTCCCACCTCAGCCTCTAAGTAGCTGAGATTACAGGAATGTGACACCACACCCAGCTTTTTAAAAATTTTTTGGTAGAGATGGGGGTCTCACTATGTTGCTCAGGCTAGTCTCAAACTCCTGGGCTCAAGTGATCCTCCTGCCTCGGCCTCCCAAAGTGGTGGGATAACATGAGTAAGCCATCACAACCGGCCTCTGCCCAGTCTTGAATGAAGAGAAGCATCAATATGACCCACGATATTGTTTAACTGGTTAACAAAGGAATTCTCCTGCAACTACTATATCAACACTGGCTTCTTTTTTTTTTTTTTTTGAGGCGGAGTGTAGCTCTGTCGCCCAGGCTGGAGTGCAGTGGCCGGATCTCAGCTCACTGCAAGCTCCGCCTCCCGGGTTCACACCATTCTCCGGCCTCAGCCTCCCGAGTAGCTGGGACTACAGGCGCCCACCACCTCGCCCGGCTAGTTTTTTGTATTTTTTAGTAGAGACGGGGTTTCACCGTGTTAACCAGGATGGTCTCGATCTCTTGACCTCGTGATCCGCCCGTCTCGGCCTCCCAAAGTGCTGGGATTACAGGCTTGAGCCACCGCGCCCGGCCAACACTGGCTTCTTATGCCTGAAATATAGACTTCAAAGCACTTCAAAATCTTTCCTGCCAGGTGTGGTGGCTCATGCCTGTAATCCCACCACTTCGGGAGGCCGAGGAGGGCGGATCACCAGGGTCAGGAGTTCAAGACCAGCCTGACCAACATGGTGAAATCCCATCTCTACTAAAAATACAAAAATTAGCCAGGGGGTGGCGGAGCTGTGCATACCTGTAATCCCAGCTACTCAGGAGTCAGAGGCAGGAGAATCGCTTGAACCCCGGAGGCAGAGGTTGCAGTGAGCTGAGATCACACCACTGCACTCCAGCCTGGGCGACAGAACAAGACTCCATCTCAAAAAAAAAAAAACTTTCCTCATTTGATCTTCACAACACCTTTGTAAACTGGGTATTATCCTCACATTATGAATGAGAAAACTGAAAGCAAGGTTAAAACTCTGCTTTGGCAGGAGGATCACTTGGCAGGAGGATCCTGACTTGCTTTCCAGGATCTTTTTCATGACAATAATCCTTATTCTTACAAAAACATTAAAAATGCTTTACGCGCGCTGGGCGCGGTGGCTCACTCCTGCAATCCCAGCACTTTGGGAGGCCAAGGCGGGCAGATCGCCTGAGGTCAGGAATTCGAGACTAGCCTAGCCAACAAGGTGAAACCCCGTCTTTACTAAAAATAAAAAATTAGTCAGGTGTGGTGGCTCACGCCTGTAGTCCCAGCTACTCGGGAAGCTGAGGCAGGAGAATCTCTTAAACCCGGGAGGCGGAGGTAGGAGTGAGCCGAGATCACGCCACTGCACTCCAGTCTGGGCGACAGAGTGAGACTCCATCTCAAAAAAAAAAAGCTTTACACAATTGGGTGTGGTGGCTCTAATCCCAGTACTTTGGGAGGCCAAGGCAGGTGGATTATTTGAGGTCAGGAGATTGAAACCAGCCTGGCCAACATGGTGAAACTCTCATCTCTACTAAAAATACAAAAAGTAGCTGGGCATGGTGGCAGGCACCTATTATCCCAGCGACTTGAGAGGTTGAGGCAGGAGAACTGCTTAAACCTGGGAGCCAGAGGTTGCAATGAGGTAACACTGGGCCACTGCACTCTAGCATAGGCAACTCCATCTCAAATAAAAAAAAAAAAAAAAGGTTTACACAAAGAGCTTTACATTACACAAAATTTATAGGGAAAAGTAATCATTGAATTACCCAGCACCCTAGCAAAAGAATTACTTTGTTTTCCCATGTTTTGAAAAAGTGAATTAAATGTATACTTTCTATTTAAAACAAAATTTTCTACTTTTGCTAGAACTTTTTCAGTTTGTGTAGCTTTGGAGTTAATATGGATAGAATGAGACTCTTTAGTCTGTAAAAACACATACCTCTCCAAGATGTTTATACTGCTGTGCAGAACAATCACTCAAAAGGGCAGAATCTAGGAAGAAACCAGACAAGGAAAGAGGACCCAAAAGTAAAATCTTAAATTCTGTAATTTTAGAATTGAAGGGTCTTTTCCCCAACTCTGACAATCCTAATCCAGAAGAAAGGACTTTATATTACCATGTTGTTCTATTTTCACATTAGAGATAGGAAAATGAGATATTTGTAAATTAGGTAGTTTGCCCCATACAAGTAGAGAATGTTAAGCAAGGACCATCATCCACTTTTTAACTCCTACTTCTGGTGACCTTCCTACTATACAATTATTCATTGAGCAACCGTGTGCCTAAAAGCACGTGGCATCATGAGGAATATAAAATAATACATGGCCTCTGTTCTTGGGTAGCTTAAGTTTTAGACCAGTTCTAAGATTTTACAGTAAATACTGGTTTTGCTAATAAACATAAAGCCGCATAGCTCAATGAGGTTTTATCAAATATTTTATGGTTTTTTTTTTTTTTTTTTTTTGAGATGGAGTTTCGCTCGTCACCCTGGCTGGTATGCAGTGGCGCAACCTCGGTTCACTGCAACTTTCGCCTCCAGGGTTCAAGTGATTCTCCTGCCTCAGACTCCCGCGTAGCTGGGATTACAGGCACCCGCCACCATGCCTGGCTAATTGTATTTTTAGCAGAGATGGGGTTTTGCCAGGGTGGCCAGGCTGGTCTCAAACTCCTGACCTCAGGTGATCCGCCTACCTTGGCCTCCCAAAGTGCTGGGATTACAGGCATGAGCCACCGTGCCTGGCCTTTATCAAGTGTTTTATTTGAAATGTAACCTGGCAATTTTTTAGAACACTGCAGGACACTGCTTTCGAGGCATCTCTGGGCTATAATATCTGCCTTCTTTGACGGGAGGTTGGTCTTAAGGGAACATTTTTTTTTTTTTTTTTTTTGAAGAGGCAATTTAACCAAGTTGAGCAAAATCATTGTGTATGTGTGTATACATATATGATTGTGCCAGTTACTCATTTAAAAAGAAACTAAAACAAGGCCAGAAGGGAGGAATAACATCCTAGAAAGTGACAAATGACTCCTGCAAGATAAGTAAACTGAACCTTCTAGATACATAAACAGAACCTTCCATATTGTTTTCTGCAAGAAACAATATGCTCTGGCCCATGATAGTTCTGCAGAGCAGCCTCTGTTCTTGGCAGCTTCACTTCAAATTCAGCCCGGCTTAATGACCCCCCATCCGGTTGGTCCTGTAAAATCTTTCCTGATAGCTGATACTGAACACCTCCTGTCAGGGTCCTGTGTTAAACACTACATAGGTTCCCTCCTCAGCCTTAACACCTCTGACACACAGGTATTGTTATCCCTGTCTTACAGATAAGGAAACTAAGGCTCAGGATGGTTAAATAACACATCAGTTATCTTACTTATGATGTCAGGACTTGAATCGAGGACTCCAGAATCCCTGCTCATAACCATTAAGCTGTACTAACATACATGATGTATTGTTGTTAAGGCTCTGCACACTCCCTGCCCCCACCAATCTGATCTATCTTGTCTGGTCATGACAAGCAGTTCTCACATATTTCTTTAACTGAAGAGTTAAATTTGCATGGTTTCTCTCAGGAGCACTTGATGGGCTAAGAGTTTCTCCTCCACACTTTCTGTTGGACACCTTATCCTTCCCACTGATCCATTTTACTTATCCACTTTTGAATCTTAAGCAAACACTCTTTGGAGCTGGCCTGCAGTTCTGATAGCAGACTGATGAAAGAAAAGAGTAACATCTTTTGCTTGTAAGAGTCTGAAACATTTTAAAACAAAGAACGGGCCAGGCACAGTAATCCCAGCACTTTGGGAGGCCAAGGTGGGCAGATCATGAGGTCAGGAGTTCGAGACCAGCCCGACCAACACGGTGAAACTCCATCTCTACTAAAAATACAAAAATCAGCCAGGTGTGGTGGTGTGTGCCTGTAATCCCAGCTACTCAGGAGCTGAGGCAGGACAATCACTTGAACCCGGGAGGCAGAGGTTGCAGTGAGCTGAGATCACACCACTGCACTCCAGCCTGGGCGAGAGGGCCAGACTCCATCTCAAAAACAAAAACCAAAAACAAAGAATGGCCTCTGTGTGTAAATCCTGTGAGAAATGACTGCTCCTTTGCTACAGATAAAGAACTGGAGCTAGGCCAGGCAAGGAGGCTCACACCTATAATCCCAGCTCTTTGGGAGGCCTTGGCAGGAGGATCACTTGAACCCAGGAGTTCAAGACCAGCCTGAGCAACATGGCAACACAGTGAGACTTCTCTGAAAAGAATTTTTCAGCAAAAACAAACAAAAAAACAAGACTAAAGAGAACAGGGTTAGAAATATCAATAAGGCCCAAAGAAAGAAAAAAAAAAGTGTTTAGTGACATCAGAGGTCCTTGTCCATAAGAAAATTGTCTGGGAAAGATGCTTTTGCTCGTGGCTACTGAGCTGCCCTCAGGCAGCCACTGAGGATGCTTTTTGTAGTTTAAGAAGCTAAGACATGGGAAGAAGGGCGGGTGTCCTGTCCCTCCTCAGAGAAAACCTGAACAGAAATTTGGGATTTCCATTCCATTTGGAATGAGGTGCTTTCTCTCTCTCTTTTTTTAATCAACGAGGCTTTTGTGGACTGTTACTACCTAGTAAGTCACAGGGTCTGGTCCTGGTTGAGACAGGCATGAACATTTTTCAGATATGCTCAAGAGAAGCCCAGCAGAGCCCGACACCTTCCCCCCAATAGGAACCTTGCACACTTTATTATTAATGAAAAGGGAAGTAGGAGTTTCCAATACTAAATGGTCAGCAGAAAAGGAGCAGGGCCATCTTCTTTCACTTTCTAGACAATCAACCAACTTCCATTTATTTTCACAACTGTGGCTAAACCAGAGGTTCATCCAATGGTGACAATGAAAAATCTGGTAAGCAAAGAGTAAATCTGGTTATAGTCAACACCTGGATCCACTCTAAGGGAATGGTGCTTATGTGTAATAGTGACAACTTCTTGGTCCAAAAGGCTGACAGATGAAGAGCACGTTTCTGGGGTTTCCCCTTTCCTATCTTGTCTGGTCATGACAAGCAGTTCTCACGTATTTCTTTAACTGAAGAGTTAAATTTGCATGGTTTCTCTCAGGAGCACTTGATGGGCTAAGAGTTTCTCTCCCACACTTTCTGTTGGACACCTTATCCTTCCCACTGATCCATTTTACTTATCCACTTTTGAATCTTAAGCACTCTTTGGAGCTGGCCTGCAGTTCTAACTGATAGGGGACTGATGAAAGAAAAAGAGTAACAGTTGAACTCTCTACTTTATTCCTGGGCTGAGGATTAGTATCACGCCTGCTTCCATCTCTCTGAGATGGCCTCACACATCCTCTTTCATTCCGTTTTAGGGCTCTTGCTTCATTTGTATTTGAGTTCCTTTCACAAGGGACTGTGGGATCTATCTGCAGCACTTCAATCCACAGGTCTCTTTCATTAATAAGCTGTGCTCTTGGCAAATCTTTGAGTAAAAAAGTATTTAAAGTGTTACCTAGTCCCACATCTCACCTACTGTAGGAGTCCCTCCTCCAGCATACCCTGGCAAATGCTTGAAATCCATTCAGAAAAGGAACTCAGCACCTAGACAATACTTTGGCTCTTCTCCCTTTTCACTGGGGAAATCAAGGTGCAAACTAGAGCTGAATCTCACATTCAAGTTCATAGTGGGTTGCCAATGAAGCCAGAACCCTGGCTTAGGGATTCCCAGAACCCCTAAATCTTCCCATGGTATAGGTCCAGATTCTGGCTAGAAAGCTCTTAATCCCAATATGCTATGGTACTGCCCATCATGTCTTGTTCTGTGTTATTGGGCTTTTCCACTGTAAGTTATGACAGCAGGCACACATTTCTTGTGTCTCCCACGGTCCCTGGTATTGTCAATGTCATAGAGCAGATGTTTTGTAAATGTGATTATCCTACAGAGCAACATGTTCAGACACAGCCTTCCCAGAAGCCAAGTTAGCTGGGCTAACACCTTTTCCTAGTGTTGTTATGCATAACTAGAGAGAGTGAAGGTTGGGCTAGGTGATAAGCAAAAAATGGGTCCTTCCCTTATCACTTCATCAAGAAAATATCCTGACTAAACATTTCCAGACCTTGTTCTAGGCACCTCAGGAAGAAGTAGAGGAAACAAGAGTATAGGAATGAACATTTTCTGCCCAAGATGTAGGACTTCTGCATTCTGTCTTCTACCTCAGGCTTCCAAGTGGGAGTCAAACAACAAATCAAATAAATTTTAGTCAAGTTTCAGCAGGAATTTATCTGCTTTGATTTTGCTGTCTTATTTAGCTTTGCCTGGACAGAAGCCAAAGACAGAGACAGAATTTTGGCAGGAAAAGCAATGTATCACAAGATTTTTTTTTTAGTAACTCCTAGAGGCTCACTTTTTTTCCTTTTAACAGCCTCATTTTGCAGATGAAAATTTGAGATCCATAAAGGAAACAGAACTTAAGCCTAGCTGCAAAGCCACTTAGCAGCAGACTCGGATGCTCCCAGGTGAAATCACCCCAAGAAAAGAACAAATGGTAGTCAAAGCCCCTAAAAGCAATACAGGCAAGAACAAACTGTTGTTGTCTATGCATGGTGCTTAGTTCTCAGCGATCTAGGAAGTTCCTCAATCTGTCCACTGTCAATGGGATACAGCCAGATAGGGTGAACATACACTCTCTCTGATGACTCAAGAAAGCTGCATTACAACACTGTTATCATCTCACTACTGAGGATGAAGAGTTCACTTTCTGGAAGCTCCATGCTTCCGGAAAGTGCTGTGATCTTTTTGTTGTTGATGACTGTCAAGAATATCACACACCAGGAATGGAGAAGCCAACTTACTGGCTTGGAAAAGATAAGGAAGAATTGGATGTGAAGGACTCTCAGAACATGGTGTAGGCACAAATTTTAGGCCGTTCTATCATTGTTAAGCCAGCTATTTCTCTGAGGTCTCTAGCTTTTAAAGCTGGGACTGAGAAAACTGTTCCCAATTTTTTAACCAGGACTTTGCCAAAGGTTTCTAGTACTTTAAATGGCAATAAGAGCCTGTTTCAAATCAAGCCAGTATAGTTAAGGAATGTTCTCCTTAATAATCTTTTAAAGTCAGATTTCATATTCAACCAATATTAAACAAAATGTACGTGAAGAATTCATCTAAGAAACCTAGGCAGGCAGTCTTGAGTTACCATGTTTCAGGGAAAGGCAGCCACAGAGGCTTGTGAACAGATCTTGGCTGGTTTTGAGAGAGGAGGCAGCAACATCAACAGTGGCTTAAGCACTTTCTCCAACAACCATCTTAGCTATCAAGGAGCTAATAAAGGGCTTTATGGTTAAACATTCTCATGCCTCATAATGGGCTTCCAGTTTTGGAGACTCTTCCCATGTACCTGTCTCTACCTAGAGACATAATCTACTATCAACCTGCTGTTCTCTGAGAACAAGAGAACCAGAGGTTAAATCCTGCTTTCCAACCTCTCCACAATATTCTTGTAACTTCTGCTTTTGTTGTATCTTTGAAAAGATGGAGGTCCTGAGCCCCTTTCCAGGTCTTTCTGGGTTTCAAAATGTGGTATTCTTGTAAGTGTGTGAAATTCCAAACCACAACCATGTCTCTAGTCAAGTGTATAGGACCCCAAATTCAGTGATGTACCAGGTAATAATTACTGTGGGTGTTGGATGGGGCTCACAGACTTTCTCTTGGATTTTGTACCCTACTGTGAGCATATATAACCATGAAGCCACAGAGATTTGGATTTACAAAACTCCCCCTCCACTCCCTTCCCCATACCACTGGTTGGCCTCTAGACCTTCAGTGTTGACACTCAGGCCAGAAGTTTCAAGCCCAGTTATGAGGGGACCTGGTGGGTCGGGGGGCTGACCCGATGGGTCACTATCACCCCCACAGCCTCCATTGTGGCCTGAACGCAGGTGGTCCTTGAGTGTCTGCTTGTAGCGGAAGCTCCTGCCACAGTAGGAGCAGGGGTAGGGCCGCTCCCCGGTGTGGATGCGCTGGTGTTTCATGAGGTGGTGCTTGCGGATGAAGCTCTTGCCACAGTGAGGACAACTGAAGGGCCGCTCGCCCGTGTGCAGCCGCCGGTGGTTCAGCAGGTGCTCCTTGCGCATGAAGCTCTTACTGCAGTCAGTGCAGGGGTAAGGACGCTCGCCTGTGTGGATCATCTGGTGACGGATAAGGGCCGAGTGGCCGTTGAAGTCAATGCCACACTGAGGGCAGGAGAAAGGGCGCTCTTGTGCATGACCCCGCTGGTGGAGCAGGAGGCTGATTTTCAAGCTGAAGCTCCTGCCGCACTGGGCACAGCGGAAGGGCCTTTCGCTTGCATGAGCTCTCCGGTGGCTGGTGAGTCGAGCTTGGTCAGCAAAGCGCTTGGGGCAATCAGGACAGGGGAAAGGACGCTCAGTGCTGTTATGGACCCGAAGATGGTAGGTAAGTCTTGATGGGTGAGTAAAAGTCCTGGCACAGTGTGGGCAGGTGGGGGGCGTCTCACTGGCATGGTCCTGGGAGGTGCTGCTGAGGTCCACCTGTGGAGTAAAGTGCTTAGGGCACTGGGCACAGGGTAAGGGGTGCTCAGTAGCGTGGCTACATTGGTGGGTCAGCAACATGTCTTGGCTGAGACTCTTGCCACAGTGGTGGCATGAGAACACCTGCTCGCCAACTGGAGGTGGGAGGGGATAGCTACCCAACTGAGTAAAAGTCACTTGTCCCTCAGAGGCTTCAGGCAGGTCAGTGGCTGGACGTCCAAAAGGTGTCATGGATGTAGACTGCTGGCTTTTGAAAGCCACATCTGAAAAAGCATCCTTTGCTGTTGCTGGTGGAGAAGAGAAAGGGACTGGAACTTCAGGGCACAACGAGGATCTAGCAAGGCCTTCAGCTTTGATGACAAGCTCTTCATCTGAAAGAAAAGACTCCAGAGTTATACCTATCAATAACTGTCTCACTAGCAACTCTCATGCATTCCTACTCAGCTCTAACAGATCACTCCAAGCTCTCAACTAGCTCAGATCAGAAACTCAGCAGAAGGTTGCAATAATAACCAAGACAACAGTGGTCTCTGTGACAAATCATCAGAGAAATGAAATGAAATTCTAAATTTATTTTATTTTATGACAGAATCACGTTCTGTTGCCTGTGATGGAGTGCAGTGGCGTGACCTTGGCTCACTGCAGCCTCCACCTCCTGGGTTCAAGCAATTTTCCTGCCTCAGTCTCCCAAGTAGCTGGGATTACAGGTATGCACTACTGTGCTCAGGTAATTTTTTTTTTTGAGACAGAGTCTCGCTCTGTCACCCAGGCTGGAGTGCAGTGGCGCAACCTCGGCTCACTGCAAGCTCCGCCTCCCAGGTTCACACCATTCTCCTGCCTCAGCCTACTGAGTAGCTGGGACTACAGGCACCCGCCACCACGCCCAGCTAATTTTTTGTATTTTTAGTGGAGACAGGGTTTCACCGTGTTAGCCAGGATGGTCTCGATCTCCTGACCTCGTGATCCACCCGCCTCAGCCTCCCAAAGTGCTGGGATTATAGGCATGAGCCATCGTGTCCAGCCGTGCTCAGGTAATTTTTATATTTTTAGTAGAGATGGGGTTTTGACATGTTGACCAGCGGTCTTGAACTCCTGGTGTCAAGTGGTTCACCTGCCTCAGCCTCTGAAAGTGCTGGGATTACAGGCATGAGCCACCACACCCAGCCCTCATCAGAAAATTTAACATTGTACCTCTTCTATGCTATCTGTTAAGAAACAGAAAATCCTTGGCATCAATCTTCCCAATGTCACTTTCACCATATTTTACCTCTACTCAAGAACTTTCTCTATTGCCTGTTGTGACAAAGCCTAAAATCACATAATCATCTATTCCTATTTATATCAGATCAACCCATCACTGTGGTCAGCTGTCTCTTTACGTCCCCTGAGAACAGAGTACACATTTCTGCTATGCATCTTTACTTATTCTGTCCTCCCTTTTGCAGAATGCTACCCCTCTCTCCCCATCTTCCCAAATTATACCCAACCATATCATACCAATCTTCTAAGGTACAATTGTGGCTTTATGCCCTTCCTTAGGTCTTATCTAAATACCTAAACTAAAACTGATGCATGTTCTCCTTTTTTTTTTTAGAGACAGGATCCCCCTATGTTACCCAGGCTGGTCTTGAACTCCTGAGTTCGAGTGATCCACCTACCTCAACTTCCTCCCAAAATGCTGGGCTTACAGGAATGAGTCACCCAACCTGATGCATGTTCCTGAAACTTCTCATTCGTTTATGTAAGTCATCCACCCCACTAATCCTTGATACTTAACAGGCTTGCCTAGTACTGGTATGTATGTCCCTAGTATAAGTTTCTTCAAGAGCTAAAACTGTCTTATTTTTCATTTGTGTTTCCCAGTCTAAAAGAACACACAGCACAGAAAATACTAAAAAAAGAGACTGCATTAAGCTGTATAAATGACTGGGACCCTTCTGATCTTGAGATTCTCTTCTACAATACAAATGGCAAAAGTATCTTAGAAGGAAGATACTTCTATTTATTCTCCCATCATTGATTTTTCCTTTCACTGAGGGAGGGCCCTTACTTAACATTCCCATTTACACTTCTCCACTGCCATTTCTGTCTCCAGAGCTTGTCTCCCCACCCCACTCCCACTTTTTCTACCCTTTCTACATGATTTTCACATGTTCTTCTGTCTTTCCCCATCCCCATAATTTTGGTTCGTCTGTATGCACTTATTTTTCTTGTTCTGACAATTCTCATTTGTCTTTGCACATAGGAGTATATTTTCTCACTCACTTAAAAATTTATTTTAGTGACTGTTTGGTTTCATTCATAATGTTGAGCATGGCTTTGTTTCTTTCCCTCATTCTTTTCCTACACATTTGCCTCTACAAATTTCACCTGCTGTTTCTTCAGTCAGTCCTGGCACGAGCTAGATATGGACATGAACACCTCTTTAATTTCTTACTCACCAGCATAAGTGCTTTTGTACACGTCACTTTCCTTGGACTCCGGTGGGGCCCCAACCTGAGGCTCTTCTTCTTGTTTAATCCAAGACAGAATATCTGATGTTGAAATACCAGGCTCTAATTTATGGGAGGGAAAAAAAAATGGCCTTCATGAACTTGAATAAGAAGGTGAGACAATCATGTTGGTTTGTCGAATACTGTATTTTGCTCAAATATTTTTCTTTTTTTTTTTTTTTTTGACACAGAGTCTGGCTCTGTCGCCCAGGCTGGAGTGCAGTGGCGCAATCTCCTCTCACTGCAAGCTCTGCCTCCCAGGTTCATGCCATTCTCCTGCCTCCGCTTCCTGAGTAGCTGGGACTACAGGTGCCCACCACCACGCCCGGCTAAGTTTTTTTTTTTTTTTTTTAGTAGAGACGGGGTTTCACTGTGTTAGCCAGGATAGTCTCGATCTCCTGACCTCATGATCCACCCACTTTGGCCTCGCAAAGTGCTGGAATTACAGGCTTGAGCCACCGCGCCCGGCCCCAAATATTTATTTCCAAATAACTATAACAATAACACATAACCAGCCTTTTAAAAAATGCATACAGGCTGGGTGTGGTAGCTCACGCATATAATCCCAGAACTTTGGGAGGCCGAGGCAAGTGGATCACCTGAGGTCAAGAGTTCAAGACCAGCTGGCCAACATGGCAAAACTCTGTCTCTACTAAAAATACAAAAAATTAGTCAGGCGTGGTGACAGGCGCTGGTAATCCCAGTTACTCAGGAGGCTGCGACAGAAAAATCGCTTGAACCTAGGAGGCAGCGGTTGCAGTGAGCCAAGATCGCACCATTGCACTCCAGCCTGGGCAACAAGAGCAAAAAAACTCTATCTCAAAACAAACAAACAAACAAACAAAAAACCAAATCAATTTCCAGCAAAGTTAGGTCAGTACAGACACAGAATCCAACTCCTTAGAAACACTCTTTTCAGATTCCCAATTCTGGGCTCTTTCTAAGAGATATGTTACCTTTGTCTATTAAATGATACAAGTCATTGCTTCCTAAATGCTGGGAGGGGGAAGAATATAGTATTGGCAAGTCCTTCAGGTCTTGGGGGTTCTTTCTGAAAGAAAAAGTACACAGCCTATAGAGGCTTTGCACACAACATGCCTCATCTGATCAGTACCAAAACAGCCATGCTAGCTATTACAACCTAGGCCTATATTGCCTTTTTTTTTTTTTTGGACTAAATGGACAAGCTGGCAAGCTGACAAGAGAGCTTGTCAAGCTCCAGAGAGTACCCTGAAGCTCTCTGTGGTTACTTCTCAAACACAGCCTTGTGAGCAGAATATGGTTAAATTCACAGCAAATTAACAGAACTCACTACTTTACCCCAATGTCTTTTAAATCAGTTAGATGCCACTGAAATCTAAAGGTGTTCTCAAAGCAGAAATAAGAGGCTGGGATAAGACTACAGCCCAAAAGACCATCAGGTTATGGGGAGAGATTTGGAAAACAGATTTTAGCACATGCAACAGCTGCCTTCCAACCTAAAAGCAAAGCTGAAATGTATTAAACATAGTCTAATCTTATCTTCGTTCTCTTCCAGATGTTATACACATACATACCTATAAGGGAAAAGGCAGAGGGGGAAAGACTGGATATAAGGAAGAAGACCTCTTAACCAATATCCAGAGGATTAACTTTCCATTCAAAACATCTAACTTTTGTTTGTTTGTTTGTTTCTGAGACAGGGTCTCACTCTGTCACCCAGGCTGGACTACAGCGGCGTAATCTCGGCTTACTGCAACCTCTGCCTCCCAGGGTCAAGCGATTATCCCACCTCAGTCTCCCTAGTAGCTGGGACCACAGCTAATTTTTTGTATTTTTGGTAAAGATGGGGTCTCACTCTGTTCCCCAGGCTGTTCTTGAACTCCTGAGCTCAGGTGACCCACCTGCCTCAACCTCCCAAAGTGCTGAGATTATAGGCATGACCCACCATACCTAGCCAAAAAACCTGACTTTTAAAACACTTACCTGCTTGTTTTTAAAAATTTTGTGAATGGGCTGGGTGCAGTGGCTCATGCCTGTAATCCCAGCACTTTGGGAGGCTGAGGTGGGCAGGTCATGAGGTCAGGAGTTCGAGACCACCCTGACCCAACATGGTAAAACCCAGTCTCTACTAAAAGTACAAAAATCAGCTGGCTGTGGTGCTGGGCGCCTATAATCCCAGCTACTTAGGAGGCTGAGGCAGGAGAATCGCTTGAACCCCGGAGGTGGAGGTTGCAGTGAGCTAAGATGGCACCACTGCACTCTAGCCTGGGCAACACAGCGAGACTCCATCTTAAAAAAAAAAAAAAAAAAAATTCTGAATGATGAGTTAGTGCTCTAAAAACCACCAAATGTTTGGGAGGCCGAGATGGGCGGATCACGAGGTCAGGAGATCGAGACCATCCTGGCGAACACGGTGAAACCTCGTCTCTACTAAAAAATACAAAAAACTAGCCAGGCAAGGTGGCAGGTGCCTGTAGTCCCAGCTACTCGGGAGGCTGAGGCAGGAGAATGGCGTAAACCCGGGAGGCGGAGCTTGCAGTGAGCTGAGATCTGGCCACTGCACTCCAGCCTGGGCAATAGAGCAAGACTCCCTCTCAAATAAATAAATAAATAAATAAATTTGGCCAGGCGCGGTGGCTCACGCCTGTAATCCCAGCACTTTGGGAGGCCGAGGTGGGCAGATCACAAGGTCAGGAGATTGAGACCACAGTGAAACCCTGTCTCTACTGAAAAAATACAAAAAATTAGCTGGGTGTGGTGGCGGGCGCCTGTATTCCCAGCTACTCAGGAGGCGGAGGCAGGAGAATGGCATGAACCCGGGAGGCGGAGCTTGCAGTGAGCCGAGATTGCGCCACTGCACTCCAGCCTGGGCGACAGTAAGACTCCATTTCTAACAACAACAACAAAAATATATATACACACACACACACATATTAGCTGGGTGTGGTGGTGCATGCCTGTAATCTGAGCTACTTGGGAGGCTGAGGCAGGAGAATCGCTTGAACCCAGGAGGCAGAGGTTGCAGTGAGTCAAGATCACGCCACTGCACTCTAGTCTTGGCGACAGAGCAAGACTCTGTCTCAAAAAAAGAAAAAGAAAGAAAAAGAAAAAAATAACTGTATGGGACAGGTGGGTTGTAAGAGAAGTTCATGTAACAGAGATGCCTGGAGGATGAACTGTGTGCTTCTATACAACAAAGAAAAAAAAAAGTGTATGAGAATTTTCTGACAGCAAAGGTGAGGCATGAGAGAAACAATACAACTGGACTTTGGTTGGCAGTCTTTCCCACACGATATTAAGCAGCTGCCAACCAAAAAGTTAGGAAGAGTTCATGATAGCCAGCTTTCCAGACCTGAGAAAATCCATGTTGCCCAGGTGGATGTCATCAGTGTCTACTGATTCCATGCATCTTGGAGGGACCATGCACACTCTTAGTCCCTTCGGCACTTATGAAGGGCCACGCTTATATTTGCTCAAGCCACTTTAGTCCAGATGAGCATGACTGCCTCCTTCATCATGCAAGGACATGTTTATTTTACTAAACAGCTAGGTGTCAGTACTTCTGTCAGGGAATGCAACTAGTACCTGTTAGATGTGTAGTACTGGTAAGTGAAGATACTGGACAAGGTGACCTCTAAGCTCCCTTTTATATTTAAATGCCTGATGACACATTCAAAATCTAGTTGCTTTAGCAATGAATGGCTCTAGAAGCCCCTAAGCCCTGCTTAGTTCTGAGCCACCATCTCTGACCAGGAAAGGAAGGGAGACAAGAAATAGGAATCTCTTCTCCCACTTACCTTCACTGGGGTCTGCGGGAATCTCACTTTCCTCTGGCCCTGCCTGGTCCTCTGTATTATGTTCCCCTTCTGGTTGAATCTGAGATAAGACATCAGGTTGATTTATAGCATAATCTAGGAGAGGAAAAAGGAAGAGAGGGTATGACAAAAAGATAAATGAGGAAGACAACTAATTGCCATCAAGGCTGAGCTGAAGCTTTGTGGTCACAGTCCCAGGCAATTTCTTTTAGACTTCATATCACTTCTTCCCATCTATCCACCTTCAACTGTGGATATCTATTCAGGAAAGCAGGCAGTGGAGATGTAATGTGTGAGGAAAGCACATGTGCTAGGTTAGCACTGCTTTCAGAGTGACAGTGTGCCTCAAGGGGGAGAAGTCAAGCTCCTTTCAAAGTGAAGGATACCCATGGAAACCACCAGCTGTCACACTCATAACCCTGAACTTCATTCTCTGCCCTAAAATTTGGTAAAAGGAGAGATTATGATTCCTATTTAGCAAGAATGAATTGGTCATCTTTTGGCTTGAAACCAGAATTCGAAGTGTGTGAAGACAGAGTGAGAATGAGGTCACTGGAGGAAAAGGGACTGTTTTGAGCCCTCTTGGAGCTGCTGTCACTTCATTCAAAAGATGTCAACTCAGCCTCACCCATGGAGATGAGAGACTCATAGTTGCCTTTCATGATATTCTTGTAAAGTTCCTTTTGCCATTCTTCTAATTTTTCCCACTCTGGAGTGGAAAAGTAGATGGAGACATCATCAAATGCCACAGGCACCTAAAATTACAATCACATGGGTTAGTTCCTCCCATTATAATTCAGTCATTCAATAAATCTCTTTCCCCCAATTAGTTCCTTTTATTTCATTTTACATTTTCAAAGGGTGGTCAATAAATATTCTAAATTTATTTATCTAAAATATTTAGAATATTTATTGTTTCTTTTAATGCTTCACTTGTCATTAGTAAATCCTAAAACCCCAGTACTCATGCAATACAGCATGAGTACCCTAAATAAAGCTGGGACCTTTTCTTGAGGCACATTCCAGTATTCTGGTAAGCGGTAATAAAATATCTAAATACCATGTATGTTAAAACTTCAGGCTTTATTGAGTCTTTGATTTCACCTCTTTTAAAATGCCTTTTCTCTAAGAAAATCACTCTCCAGGAGATTCAAAATTCCTCTATTTGTTTTCTTTGTGTTGTTTCTATTTCCTCCAGTCTTTTGCCAAATACAGAGTTCCCTTTGATGCTGTTCATCCTGCACATGAGGAGGAAAGGATAATACCATGGCTGATGACTGAGAGCAAACAGGATTGACTTTGGAGGCATGTTAGGAACCAAAATTAAACTTCAAAATTCATTATGTCTTCTGTGTGTATCCTTTAGTCTTTTCTGAAACTTTGTATATTCTTCAAATGGTACATTTTGTCTATTTAAAACCCAATTTTGTTTCCATTTCTTCTCTACCTGCCTCCAAGATTTACACCTTGTCCTGCCATCTCCTCAATTGTTTTCAGGGGAAGATTTCCTCTTTTTCTGGGCAACTGCAGCTTACTGCAATTTCTCTTTAGCTTGACTACACATTTCTCTGAGATACTTTTCTTCTAACTGCTGTGTCTGTTCTTTTTCCAATGTCTTTTTGACTTCTAGTTAGACTTTTTCAGCTTGATTTCTTATATTTCAGCATTCCTATTTTAATGTCTCCATCGTTTCCTTCAGCATTTGGTTTGAACTCTGAAAGTGAGGTAGCTTGGATCTGAAAACTACTGATTTACTATTCCAGGTCAAAATTTTCATTTTTTTTCTTCCTCTGCATTTTTTCTTTTTTTTTTTTTTCAGAGACAGAGTGTCACTGTACACCCAGGCTGGAGTGCAGTGGCGCGATCTCATCTCACTGCAACCTCTGCCTCCAGGGTTCGGGTTCAAGCAATTCTCCTGCCTCAGCCTCTTGAGTAGCTGGGATTACAGGCGCCTGCCACCACACACCACTAATTCTTGTATTTTTAGTAGAGATGGAGTTTCACCATGTTGGTCAGGCTGGTCTCAAGCTCCTGACCCGTGATCCACCGCACCCGGCCTCCCACAGTTTCTTTTCACACTGATGCTTTTCAGATTGCTTCCAGACATCGTGCTCCACTTTCATTTTCTATCTGCTAACTTGTTCTCAAATTCTTCTAGCTTTTCTTCCTGTAATACCACAAATCTTTTACAACCTTCTTCCTTGGCATCTGGTGCCTTACATATTAACACATGATCTTTTTTTACTAACGGCACTTTGTGGTGTTCAATAGCTGGTCTGAGAATTTCATTGTCTAACTGTAAACCATCCAGTTCACTTTGAATCTTTTTCCTTTCCCTTTCTAGCTGACTCTTGTGGCCTCTAGTTTCATGGCTGTTATTTCTAGTATGTTTGAAAGTTTCATTTTTTGACTTTAGTGGTCAGTGTATTTCTTTCTTTAAGATTGAGTCTTGCTTGGTCACCCAGGCTGGAATGCAGTGACGCTATCTCAGCGTACTGCAACCTCTGTCTCCTGGATTCAAGCAATCCTCCTGCCTCAGTCTCCCGAGAAGCTGGGATTACAGGTCCACACCACCACGCCTGGCTAATTTTTGTATTTTTAGTAGACACGGGGTTTCACCATGTTGGTCAGGCTGGTCTTGAATTCCTGACCTCAAATGATTCACCTTGCAGGGCGTGGTGGCTCACGCCTGTAATCCCAGCACTTTGGGAGGCCGAGGCAGGCAGATCACGAGGTCAGGAGATTTAGACCATCCTGGCTAACACGGTGAAACCCCATCTCTACTAAAAATACAAAAAATTAGCCAGGCGTGGTGGCAGGCGCCTGTAGTCCCAGCGACTCAGGAGGCTGAGGCAGAAGAATGGTGTGAACCTGGGAGGCGGAGCTTGCAGTGAGCTGAGACTGCGCCACTGCACTCCAGCCTAGGCAACAGAACAAGACTCCATCTCAAAAAAAAAAACAAAAAACAAAACAAAGTAAAAACCAAAAATTCACCTACTTCAGCCTCCCAAACTGCTGGGATTACAGGCGTGAGCCACTGTCACCATGCCCAGCCTGGTCAGGGTATTTCTTTCTTGTTCAGTTTTATGTAATCTTTAATGATTAAAAAGGTATTTTGGCCAGGCGTGGTGGCTCCTAGCACTTTGGAAGGCCAAGGCAGGTGGATCACCTGAGGTCAGGAGTTTGAGACCAGCCTAGCCAACATGGCGAAACCCCGTCTCTACTAAAAATACAAACATTAGCTGGGCGTGGCCATGTGCAGTGGCTCACACCTGTAACCCCAGCACTTTGGGAGGCCGAGGCAGGTGGATCACCTGAGGTTGGGAGTTCAAGACCAGCCTGACCAACATGGAGAAACCCCGTCTCTACTAAAAATACAAAATTAGCTGGCGGTGTGGTGGCACATGCCTGTAATCCCAGCTACTCGGGAGGCTGAAGCAGGAGAACTGATTGAACCCAGAAGGTGGAGGGTGCAGTGAGCCGAGATCACACCATTGCACTCCAGCCTGGGCAACAAGAACGAAACTCTGTTTAAAAAAAAAAAAAATTAGCTGGGCGTGATGGTGCATGCCTGTAATCCCAGCTACTCAGGAGGCTGAGGCAGGAGAATCGCTTAAACCTGGGAGGCGGAGGTTGCAGTGAGCTGAGATCACCCCACTGCATTCCAGCCTGGGCGACAGGAGCAAAACTCCATCTTAAAAACAAACAAACAAACAAAAAAACCAGGTATTTTGTTCATTGTTTGATTGTGGCTCTTTTTCCGAGCATTTAACTTATAGTTTAGGTGACGTTTTTGGCCTCCTGGGACCTGACTGTAACCGCATCTCAGCCAACTGCCACACCTGTGTTCTTAGGACATTTTCTAACTGAGCACCAGAATTCTCTTTTTCAGCCTCTAAATCTGCTACTTTAGCTTGTGTGTGTGTGTGTGTGTGTGTGTGTGTGTGTGTGTGTGTGTGTATAGTAGCGCCTGTAGTCCCATGTACTTGAGAGGCTGAGGCAGGAGAATGGCGTGAACCTGGGAGGTGGAGCTTGTAGTGAGCTGAGATCGCGCTACTGCACTCCAGCCTGGGCGATGAAGCGAGACTCCATACCAAAAGAAAAAAAAAAATTAGCCAGCTGTGGTATTGCACACCTGTAGTCCCAGCCACTTGGGAAGCTGAGGCAAGAGGCTCACTTGAGCCTTAAGGCTGCAGTTAGCCAAGATAGCACCACTACACTCCAGCTTGGCCAAAAGCAAGACCCTGTCTTGAAGAGAATATAAATAAATAAAAATAAAAATAAATCTCTAATTCAAATTTTAGGGTTTTTTTCTAAACTACATGCAAATTCTTCTTCCTAGTGTTTCAGATTCTGATTGAAGAAATTTATGTTTATAGCAAAGCTTTCATCTCTATACTTTTCCACTTCTTCATCCCAATTGCAAAAACACTGGAGTTTCTAATTCTTGTTTTATTTGGGCTTTTAACAATTCCCCTTTTTTTAATACCTGAAGCTTAACGAAGTCCTTAGCTTTTCTACTAATTCCCCTCTTAGTTCTTCAAGCAAGTGCTGAAGTTTTTCCTGGTATATTTGCTTTTCATTTAATAGGTGCTTGAGTAGTTTTTGCATCTTTATGTACTCATCCTGCCACCTTGTATGCCTGTATGTTAGGCATTCAGAATCTGTTAACTAGTTGTTTTTGTGTTTTGTTTTGTTTTTAAGACAGGGTCTCACTCTGTCACCCAAATTGGGGTGCAGTGATGTGATCATGGCTCCCTATAGCCTCAACCTCCTGAGCTCAGGTGATCCTTCCATTTCAGCTTCCCAAGTAGCTGGGACGATAGGCACATGCCACTATGGCAAGTCAATCTTTAGAAACAATTTTTGTGGGCATGGGTCTGGCTATGCTGCCCGGACTGGTATCCTACACCTGGCCTCAAGCAATCCTCTGAGCTCAGCCTCCCAAAGCCCTGGAATTACAGGCTTGAGTCACCACACCTGGCCTAAAAACTAGTTTTTACCTTTCCTCAGTTAATATTTTTTGGAAGTCAGGTTGTCAGCCCACTGTCTCTAGTAGGAAAAAAAAAGTTGGGAAAAGATCCTGGTGGCAAGGAGACAGAGCAAAGAGGAGAAGGGAGAGACAGGGTGAGGAGGTCGTGGTGGGACAGGGAGGAGGCAGGGCAAAGAGGAGAAGACACAGTGCCAAAGGGGTGCTGGGGAAATCTGAGGAATCCTGGGAAAGCTCCAAGTTGAAGAGGGCAGCGTTGGAGAAAGCCCCCTCCTCCTGACAGGCTTCCTTGGGGTGCGGAGCAGACACCATCTCAGCCAGCAGCCCGCCCCCACTCCAGCCCCCTCAGTCTAAAAATCTTTACTATTTACTAAGTGTTTTCTGACTGCAAAAAACTATATGGGGTACTGAAAGGATACAGGAAAAATAAGACACAGACCAATCTCTAGGAGTTCACAGTGTTTTCAAGAAGAAAGGTGATAATCTAAAGCTATGAGCTTCAGGAGGGTGGAGGACATTACTTCTAAACAGTTACTCAGAGTTAGATACAAACACAAAGTGTACTTAATTCACACGAGAAATCATTCTGAGTATCCACTACATACAAGGTTTTCCCTAAGCACTGAGATAATTAAAATATGGTTTCTGCCCCAAAGGGGAATTTGACTATCTGCAAATTAATGACATGGACAAGACACAGGGCTGACATGACTCTAAAAGAGATGTGACTTTGGCTAGTCCTAATGGGGATGGAGAAAACATTCAAGTGAGGGAAACTGAAGAGTGCATTCAGAGGAGGACTGTGAATTCTGCCTCGTTGGGGTTAAGACTGCATGTAGGGAATGACCATATGCAGAAGAGAATCCCACTTCCTAGTATAGACTGGTCTAAAGCTAGGCACTTATCCCTAGGCAAAAACTGGAAAGTTATTCTGTGAAGAAATCCCAGAGTTTTCTAGGAAAATTAAGGTACTCGGCCAGGTGCAATGGCTCATGCCTGTAATCCCAGCACTTTGGGAAGCCGAGGCAGGTGGATCACCTGAGGTCAGGAGTTCAAGACCAGCCTGGTCAACATGGTGAAATCCTGTCTCTACTGAAAACACAAAAATTAAAAAAGCAAAACAAACCAAAAAAAAACCACAATGAGGCCGGGCGCGGTGGCTCAAGCCTGTAATCCCAGCACTTTGGGAGGCCGAGACGGGCGAATCACTAGGTCAGGAGATCGAGACCATCATGGCTAACATGGTGAAACCCCGTCTCTACTAAAAAATACAAAAAACTAGCCAGGTGAGGTGGCGGGCGCCTGTAGTCCCAGCTACTTGGGAGGCTGAGGCAGGAGAATGGCGTAAACCCGGGAGGCAGAGCTTGCAGTGAGCTGAGATCTGGCCACTGCACTCCAGCCTGGACGACAGAGCCAGACTCCATCTCAAAAAAAAAAAAAAAAAAAAACCACAATGAGGCCAGGCGCAGGGGTTCACACTGTAATCCCAGCACTTGGGAGGCCAAGGCAGGCTAATCACTTGAGGTCAGGAGTTCGAGACCAGCCTGGTCAACATGGTGAAAGCCTGTCTCTAATAAAAATACAAAAAAAAAAAAAAAAAATTAGCTGGGCGTGGTGGCATACACCTATAATCCCAGGTACTTGGGAGGCTCAGGCACAAGAAATGCTTGAACCTAGGAGGCAGATATTACACTGAGCTGAGATTGTGCCAGTGCACCCCAGCCTGGGTGACAGAGCAAGACTCTGTTGAAAAAAAAAAAACAAAAAAACCCACAATTAGGTATTATCTCACCCCACTTAGAATGGTCAATTATCTAAAAGACAAAGAATAATGAATGCTGTTGAAGATGCACAGAAAGGGGAACTCTGATACACCATTGGTGGGAATGTAAATTATTACAGCCGCCGCGCGTGGTGGCTCACGCCTGTAATCCCAGCACTTTGGGAGGCCGAGGCGGGCGGATCACAAGGTCAGGAGATCGAGACCACAGTGAAACCCCGTCTCTACTAAAAATACAAAAAATTAGCCGGGCGCTGTGGCGGGCGCCTGTAGTCCCAGATACTCGGGAGGCTGAGGCAGGAGAATGGCGGGAACCCGGGAGGCGGAGCTTGCAGTGAGCCAAGATCGCGCCACTGCACTCCAGCCTGGGAGGCAGAGCAAGACTCCGTCTCAAACAAACAAACAAAAAAAAATTATTACAGCCATTATGTGAAACAGTATGGAGGTTCAAAAAACTAAAAACACAATTACCCTAGGTTCCAACAGTCCCACTGCTGGGTATATATCCAAAGGAAAGGAAATCAGTAACTGATGAGATATTTGCACTTCGATGTTTATAGCAGCACTACTCACAACAGCCAGGCGATGGAATCATCCTAAGTGCCCATCAATGGATGGACTTGAAAAAGGTGATATATATATATATATATGTATACACACACACACACACACGCACACACACACACACAATGGTATACTATGAAGCCATAATAAAAAATGAAATCCTGTCATTCGCAGCAACATGGATGAATCTGGAAGACATTATGTTAAATGAAATAAGCCTAGCACAGAAAGTTAAACACCATGGCCAGGAACAGCGGCTCACGCCTGCAGTCCCAGCACTTTGGGAGGCCAAGGTGGGCAGACTGCTTGAGCCCAGAAGTTCGAGACCAGTCGGGGCAAAAGCTGATCTCAGTAGGAGAGAGTAGAATGGTGGTTACTAGAGGCTGGGAAGGGTAGTGGGTGGAGGAGATAGGAAAAGGTCAGTTAACAGACAAAAAAGTACAGCTAGATTAAGGGAGTAAGTTCTAGCGTTATATAGTATTGTACGGTTACTATAGTTAACAATAATTTATAGCTAAAAGATAGGATTTTTTTTTTTCTTAGATGGAGTCTCACTCTGTCGCCCAGGCTAGAGTGTGGGGGCGCAATCTCGGCTCACGGCAAGTTCCGCCTCCCAGGTTTACTCCATTCTCCTGCCTCAGCCTCCCAAGTAGCTGGGACTACAGGTGCCCACCACCACACCCAGCTAATTTTTTGTATTTTTAGTAGAGACCCCCGTGTCAGCCAGGATGGTCTCGATCTCCTGACCTCATGATCCGCCCGCTTTGGCCTCCCAAAGTGCTGGGATTACAGGTGTGAGCCACCGTGCCCGGTCTAGAAGAGAAGATTTTTTGGTGTTCCAAACACAAAGAAATGATAAATGCTTCAGGTGATGGATATGCTAATTACCCTCATTTTATCATTACAGTTTATACAAATGTATCAAAGTATCACACTGGCTGGGCCTGGTGGCTCACACCTGTAGTCCCAGAACTTTGGGTGGCTGAGGCAGGCGGATCATCTGAGGTCAGGAGTTCGAGACCAGCCTGACCAACATGGTGAAACCCTGTCTCTACTGAAAATACAAAATTAGCTGGGCATGGTGGCACATTCCTCTAATCTAAGTGCTGGGATTAACAGGTGTGAGCCACCGCGCCCGGCCTTGAAGAAACTTTAAAAGGAAATAAAAATATCTAAGTAACTGAATGACCAAGACTACTACTAGTATAAGTTTTAGTGGTACCACTTTACATCTGGAAATGAAGGTATTACCTTTGGGATATCTCCCTTAATACCTGGAGGGAGCCGCAGGATCCAGAAGTTCCTGTTGCGCAGCAGGTTCTCCAAGTTCTCCAGCCGCCTCTGCAGCAGCCCGTACTCCTGCAGCAGGGTTCCCAGCACAGCCCACTTGCCCTCCAACTGGTTCCCAAGCTCGGTAACTGTCTTTTCACAGCTGGCTAGTTTCTTCTCTGCTGTCCCTGTCCGACCTTCTAGGTGTAGGAGTCGCCGGCTGTGGACCTCCACCTTCCTCTCTATAGCCTGCACGGCGGCCACCACCGTCCACAGAGAGATAGCTGCTGTCTGCAGGTGTGCCTCATTTGCTGCTGGGGGTGTAGGAAGAGGAAGGGACTGCAGGGATGTAAGGCACTCGGAGTCCCATTCAGATGTCTGCATGCAGTGGAAAGATGGAACAAGACACTGAGCGTTAGAAGGAACCCTAACTCCAAACTAAAATCAGATAAGGACTGCTTAACTGTCCAGCAGAGATTAATTTGAATATAGTTTTAGTACTGTCTCATCTTTCTGAAGCTCACTGGCAACAACAGCCAAGAGACCTGATGTGGTGGTTCTGGGATAGATTGGGTAAGACAGTGAATTAATGAAATTGGCTCTTGAACTAGTCTGGTATATTTCTTCCAATATAAGGCCCAGCTTAGGTTGCTGCAGCATCCTCTGTCTCTGGAAAAGGCAAATGTGTACAGGGATCCTTTCCAGGCCTCACTGAACCTAGTGCCCTCTAATAAATCCATTATAGACTTATGCTCTAGACCTGTCAATCACCCTGTTTACAAACTACAACCACACCATTCAGTAATGGCTGAATAAGCTAAGAATCTTGAATCTGAAGAAAACATGAGAGCTGTTTTCAAATAATGAGGGTTACAAAACAGAAGGCAGAATAGACTTATTTCATCTTACACTATGTTACTCCAGAGGGCAGAACTAAAACCAACATAACGAAATTTTCAGACAGGCGAACTTTGGCCTACAATAAATACATTTTTTGTTTCTTTTTAGAGACAAGGTCTTGGGGTCTCATTATGTTGCCCAGGCTGGCTCACTCAAGCAACCCTCCTGCCTCAACCTCCCAAGTAGCTGGGGCTACAGGTGTGTGCCTTTGTGACCCACTAATAAATAATTATTGAACTATTCAAAAAAAGAAATTCTGGCTGGCGTGGTGGCTCATGTCTGTAATCCCAGCACTTTGGGAGGCCGAGGTGGGCAGATCACCTGAGTTTGGGAGTGCGAGACCAGCCTGGCCAACATGGTGAAACCCCATCTTTACTAAAAATACAAAAATCAGCCAGGTGATGGTGCACGTCTGTAACACCAGCTACTCGGGGAGCCCAGGCAGGAGAATCACTTTAAACTGAGAACTGGAGGTTGCAGTGAGCCAAGATTATGCCACTGCACTATAGCATGGGCAACAGAGGGAGACTCTGTCTCTTAAAAAAAAAAAAAAAAAAAAAGAGGCCAGGCATGGTGGGTGGCTCACACCTGTAATCCCAGTACTTTGAGAGGCCGATCACCTGAGGTCGGGAGTTCAAGACCCACCTGACCAACATGGAGAAATCCTCTCTCTACTAAAAATACAAAATTAGCCAGCCATGTTGGCGCATGCCTGTAATCCTAGCTATACGGGAGGCTGAGGCAGGAGAATCGCTTGAACCCAGGAGGCAGAGGTTTCAGTGAGCTGAGATCGCACCATTGCATTCCAGCCCGGGCAACAACACCAAAACTCAAAAAAAAAAAAAAAAAAAAAAAAAATCTAGGCCAGGCGCAGTGGCTCATGCCTGTAATCGCAGCACTTTGGGAGGCAGAGGCAGGTGGATCACAAGGTCAGGAGATCAAGACCATCCTGGCTAACATGGTGAAACCCTGTCTCTACTAAAACTACAAAAAATTAGCCAGGCATGGTGGCAGGCGCCTGTAGTCCGAGCTACTTGGGAGGCTGAGGCAGCAGAACGGCGTGAACCCAGGAGGTGGAGCTTGCAGTGAGTGACATTGTACGAGTCTGGGCGACACAGAGAGACTCTGTCTCACCAAAAAAAAAAAAAAAAAAGCCTTTAAGGGAAATCACGTTATTTATTTATTATTTATTTATTTATTTACTTACTTACTTCTTGAGACAGAGTCTCACACTGTCACCCAGGCTGGAGTGCAGTGGTGCCATCTCTGCTCACTGCAACCTCTACTGCCCGGGTTCAAGGGATTCTCCTGCCTCAGCCTCCCAAGTAGCTGGAATTACAGGAGGGTGCCACCAGGCCCAGCTAATTTTTTGTATTTTCAGCAGAGACGGGGTTTCACTGTGTTCGCCAGGATGGTCTTGATCTCCTGACCCTGTGATCCACCCTCCTCGGCCTCCCAAAGTGCTGGGATTACGGGCGTGAGCCACCGAGTCGGGCCACGTTATTTTATATGATTTTAAAATCTAAGATGGATAGTTTAAATGTTATCCACTTATCGCTTGAACCCAGGAGGTGGAGGTTACAGTTAGCCAAGACTGTGCCAGTGTACTCCAGCCTACACGACAGAATGAGACTCAGTCTCAAAAATAAAAAAAATTAAAAAAATTTTTGTTGAATGAGCGAATAAATAAATAGGCTAGCATGCAAACCAGCCATTTCAGAGTGTCTTCTATAGCTCAATTTTATTTTTAGAGACAGGGTCACCCAGGTTGGAGTACAGTGGCATGACAATAGCTCATTGTATCCTATAACTCCTGGGTTATTGATCTTTCCAAGAAAATAAAAGGCTGCTCCGAAATAATTTGCTTTGAAACAAAGAGTAGTATAAAAGGAAAAAATTTCCACAACAAATAAGTTGGACTAGGATGATGTATACAAAGCCTTCTAACTCTATGAAACTGATAAGCCACTCTCTTCATCTTTCCAGCCATCTTTCCAGCTTGCCCATTACCTTATTCTCATTTCACCTAGCTCTTTGACCATTCCATTTGCTCCTAGTTTATCTGCCCATTCCTGGCTTTGTTTTTTTCTCCAGTTGATCATGTCAGTCACTTCCAAACCCCCTTCTCTCATGTCTTTCTGCCTCACCTGCTCAGCTAACCTCCAGCCTTGAATCAGTCCAATCATTCTTTCTCCCATTCCTGTAAGCACGCCTAGAGGAAACCACCAGGTAAACTGCTGTCACCACACACCAATGGTTTCTAAGCTTAGTGGGGACCTCAACATTGACTCATGCCCTCCATGCTGCTTGTCCCATTCCATAAAGTGGCTACTATAAAGCCTCAGCACAGTCCTTCAGCTTTTAGTACAGTTGTCCTCAAACTAACATGAATAAGAATCACCTGGAGGGGCCGGCTGGGCGTGGTGGCTCACGCCTGTAATCCCAGCACTTTGGGAGGCCGAGGCAGGTGGATCACCTGAGGTCAGGAGTTTGAGACGAGCCTGACCAGCATGGTGAAACCCCATCTCTACTTAAAAACACAAAAATTAGCTGGGTGTGGTGGCAAGCGATGTAATTCCAGCTACTCGGGAGGCTGAGGCTAGAGAATCACTTGAACCCGGGAGGCAGAAGTTGCAGTGAGCTGAGATTGTGCCACTGTACTCCAGCCTGGGACAGAGTGAGACAGTGTGGGCGGGGTGGGGGGGCCTGGGGAGAATCACCTGGAGATCTTGTCAAAGCACAGATTTTGATTCAGTAGGTCTGTGAGGAAAACTGAGATTCTGTTGGGTTTTGTTTTCGTTTTTTTGGGATGGGGTCTCACTGTCACCCAGGCTGGAGTGCAGTGGTGCAATCTCAGCTCACTGCAACCTCCATCTCATGGGCTCAAGCGATTCTCCCACCTCAGCCTCCCATGTAGCTGGAACCACAGGCACACACCACCATGCCCCGCTAATTTTTGTATTTTCGGTAGAGACAGGGTTTCACCATGTTGCCTAGGCTGGTCTCAAACTCCTCAGCTCGAGTGATTCGCCTGCCTCAGCCTCCCAAAGCGCTGGAATTACAGGCATGGGCCATGGTACACGGCCTGAGATTCTGTATTTTTAACAAACTCCCAGGTAATGCTGACACTGAGTAGTAAGACTTGTCTGCTGCAGTCCCCCACTCTCAGAAGATGACATGTCCTCTTACTTTGAGACAAAAATCATTCAGACCTAAATTCATTCAACTCTCTTTATACTCCTCGCTTCAAACTTATCAGTAACTGAATCTAAGTTTTCTTCTTTACTTAGTAAGGAAGTTGCATCCTATTTAAATCTTAACTCTCCACATTAGCTTCACTTATGCCAACCCCTTCCACTTTTTTGGGTAGGTTGTTCCTTTCTTAGTGTCAATCTGTCTCCTGATTCTTCTCCATAAGGTAGACTGGCACTGTTCAATACAGTAGCCACTACCCGCATGTGGCCACTGAGCACCTGAAATGTGGTTAGTTAAATTGAGATGTGCTATGAGTATAAAATACACAAGATTTTGAAGACTTAGGATGAAAAAAATATTTGTTTGTTTGCTTGAGACAGGGTTTCGCTTTGTTGCCAGGTTGGAGGGCAGTGGCAGGATCACAGCTCACTGCAGCCTCCACCTCCCTGGCTCAAACACCTCCCACCTAAGCCTCCTGGGTAGCTGGGAGTACAGGTGCATGCCACCACGCCTGGCTAATTAAAAAAAAACACACACAACTTTTTTTTTGTTTTGTAGAGATGGGGTCTCCCTGTGTTGCCCAGGCTGGTCTTCAACTCCTGGGCTGAAGCCATCTTCCCACAACAGCCTCCTGAAGTGCTGGGGATAACAGGCTTGAGTCACCACACCCGGCCATTAATGTCTTAAATTGATTACATGAGGCCGGGTACGGAGGCTCACGCTTGTAATCACAGTACTTTGGGAGGCCAAGGCGGGCGGATCACAAAGTCAGGAGATTGAGACCATCCTGGCAAACACGGTGAAACCCCGTCTCTACTAAAAATACAAAAGGAGCCGGGCGTGGTGCCACGCACCTGTAGTTCCAGCTACTCGGGAGGCTAAGGCAGGAGAATCGCCTGAACTGGGAAGGCAGAGGTTGCAGTGAGCCGAGATGGCGCCCTGCACTCCAGCCTGGGTGACAGAGTGAGACTCCACCTCAAAAAAATAAAAAAGTAAATTGATTACATGTTGAAATAATATCTTGCATATATTGAGTTAAATAAATATATCATTAAAATTAATTTCATATATGTATCCTTGTTTTTTTTCAAAAAATTTTTTTTATTTTAGAAACACGGTGTGGACTGCCTCGAACTACTGGCCTCAAGTGATTCTTCCGTCTCAACCCCCAGCCTACCTGGGACTACAGGCGCGCACAACACAGCGCCTGGCTTTTTACTTTTTAAACGTGACGCCTAGAGAATTTAAGCAGGGGTGTCCAATCTTTTGGCTTCCCTGGGCCACATTGGAAGAACTGTCTTGGGTCACACATAAAATATTGATGATGATAGCTGATGAGCTTTGGGAAAAAAAAAAAAAAAAAAAGACAAAGAAAAAGGTCCGTGCATCAATCTCATAATGTTCTAAGAAAGTTGACGAATTTGTGTTGGGCCGCATTTAAAGTAGTCCTAGTCCGCACGCGGCCTGGGGGCTGCGGGTTGGACAAGTTTGATTTAGAGTTTTGTATGTGGCTTCCCTTATATTTCTATTAGCCAGGGCTGGCACAGACACAGGATCATCTCTACCATCCCACCTATACACACACACACAAAAAAGGTTGGAAAAAAGAAAAATAGGTCCAAGAGTGGAGGTAGCACTTCCCTCTGCTCTATCCCCCATCCATCGCTGCTCTTCCTCCTTTTCCCAGTCACCCCTCAAGTGCCAGTGTGGCTCCTGACCCAGTACAATGGCTATCCTAGAGGTGACCAAAGGCCTCTTGGGTGGCAAATGCGATCAGTGCTTTCCCCGCGGCCTGACCGTCCCCTTCTCATTCTACGGGGCTGCGTGCAGGCGCGGCCAGGTCTCCTCGGTCGCCCTGGCAACTGGCCGCTGCCGGCCCCCGCAGGCCTTGGCAAACACCCGCGAATGAACCGCCACGCACGCAAGGCCGGCCACTCCAGCCTCCGGGTCGGCACCATTCATTCGGCAGATATTTCGGGAGGGCCTCCCCCGTGTCCCGTGTCCGGTGCCGGGCGCCACGCAGCGCGGCAGGAAGGCGCCTCCGCACACTAAATGCCTCCCGCGCCACCGCTCAGATTGCCGGTGACGACCGCTCCCGTGGCCGCGAGAATGGCTGACGGCTCCCCAGCCCAACTCCGCTGCCAGCGTCTGGCGGGTAGGAGTGGGGCTGACAGGCAGCCGGCAACCCCTCGGCTTCAACCCAACTGCAGGGCCCCGGGTCTCACAGCTGCCTGCGAGTTCCCCTCAGACCCGCGCCCCAGCCTGGTGTCCCCGGGTGGGCGGTTTCACACCCACCCGCTAAGTCCCTTCACGCGAGGTTGCAGCCGCCAAGCCCCGGCGACGGGCGACGTGGCCCGTGGGACCTGAGAACGGCGCCTGTGCCTGCTAGCTCCCTGCCCGCCCGCCTTCCTCCGTCGGGGTCTGGGTCTCGGGGGCTCACAACACTCGCGCGCGGCCTCACTTACCGGGGCCGGGGCCGCCTCAGCCATGGCCCTGCGATGTCTGGCCCGGGCCTCGGAAGTCTCCGCCGCCGCCACTGCCGCCGCGCTCGGCCCCACGCAGGCCCGGCCGCCGGGTCCTCTTCACAGGCGGCGCCGACCCGGCCCTGCCTTCCCCGCACGGACGGGACTCACGCGGCCGTCGGGGCTCGGGACGCGCAGGAACGCGGCGGAGACGCTGGGCGGCAGGCGGCGGATCAAGCTGCGGTCGCGAGGCAGGCTCCGCCGCACTCCTCCCGCAGCGGCCCCTCAGCTGGCGCTTTGTGGGCAGCGAGTGCACCGGGAACCGCGCGGGCCTAGACGCGCCGCAGGCTCGCGTTGCCCGCCAGCCGCGGCCAGCGCGCCCCCTGCCGGCCCCCGCGGCCAGCGCCGCCCGCGTCGCCTCCACCCCCACCTCCTCCGGCTCGTGGGCTTCGGTGTGGGGAGGATTGTTATTTGGGGCCCACGAGTGTTCCGCTTTCTCATATTCCCACGAGAAGGTTCAGCTGACCGCAGTTTAGGACCCAGCCGCAAAGCCGGGTTCATTCTTGGGAGTGATTTTCTTCACCGAGGCTCGATACGCAGGCGCCCTGTGCAGGGAACGGCTTCTGCTGAAGTGCAGCCGTATTTAAAACAGCGGAAATGTGCAGGGTGAGAGTAAGGGGGACAGGGCTGAAGGGAGCCTGTGGGTGGAATGAGTGACGGGGAGGCACAATTTTGGAATGAAGAAGATATAGATCATTTGCGGAAATTACAAACGTGGTTGCCGAGGTGAGGCGGTTCACGTCCCATGCGGCCCGTGTTGGGATCAAATAATATTCTAAGGCTTCTTTCACATCTCGGATTATTGACTCTCCGGGGCCTGGTCTGGAAATGGGATTCTTAATTTTTGTTTATGTATTTATTTAGAGAAGGAGTCTCACTCTGTCGCCCAGGCTGGAGTGCAGTGGCGGGATCTCGGCTCACGGCAACTGCCTTCCGGGTTCAAGAGATTCGCCTGCCTTTGCCTCCCAAGTAGCTGGGATTACAGGCATGTACCACCATGCCTAGCTAATTTATTTATTTATATATTTTATTTTTTGGATTTTTAGTGGAGACGGGGTTTCACCATGCTGGCCAGGCTGGTCTGGAGCTCCTGACGTCAAATGATCCACCCGCCTTGGCCTCCCAAAGTGCTGGGATTACAAGCGTGAGCCATCGCGCGCGGCCTTATTTATTGATTTATTTATTTAGAGACAGTCTCCCTCTGTCGTCCAGGCTGGGAGTGCATGTGGCACAAACAAGGCTCACTGCAGCCTTAAACTCCTCGGCTCAAACGATCCTTCCCCTCACCCTTCCCGAGCAGCTTGGACTACAGGCGCAGCTACCAAGCCCGGCTCATGTTTAATTTATTTGTATTTATTTATTTATTTTTCTGTAGAGACAGGGTCTCGCTATGTTGCCCAAGCTGGAGGAAGTGGAATTCCTGAGAGCAGCAGAGATCGAGCTTGGGGTTACGGTTTGTTGCGTCTGAGCTAAAGGACCTGCGAGAACAGGCCGGGCGCGGTGGCTCACGCCTGTAATTCCAGCACTTTGGGAGGCCGAGGCGGGCAGATTACCTGAGTTCCAGACCAGCCTGGCCAACATGGTGAAACCCCGTCTCTACTAAAAAATACAAAAATTAGCCGGGCGTGGTGGCGTGCACCTGTAAACCCAGCTACTCCGGAGGCTGAGGCAAGAGAATTGCTGGAACCCAGGAGGCGGAGGTTGCAGTGAGCAGAGATCGCAGCGCTGCACTCCAGCCTAGGTGACAGAGCTAGACTCTATCTCAAAAAAAAAAAAAAAAAAAAAAAAAAGACCTGCGAGAACAAAGTGTTACCTGGGGAGGTTGTGTTTTAAGTCAACAGAGTGTGTGTAACTGCAATAGGTTCCTTGCCCAATGCACATAGCAAGTCTATATGCTGAGACACCAGGTTGCAGCAGAGAAAGAGGTCTAATCTTAGGGCTACCTAAGGAGGAGACAGGAAGAAGCCTCACATCTGTCTCCCCTAGGAATTTGGGATTGGGGTTTGTAAGGGTAATGGAGATGACTGATTGGTGGGAGAGTGCTGGGTGAAATCATGGTACAAGAACATGAGGAAACTACATTCTCATGCTCTTGCCATTCCTCTGTGGGGGGTCTTCAAACTGCTTGAAATCAACTGTTTCACTGGAATTCATGGTCTGAAAAACATCTTAAGCGATCCTTAAACAAAAGCCTTATGATTCTAATGTCAGAGATCCTGTCTACAGGAACAACAGGGATGCAAATCAGTGCTTAGTCTGAAGTCTGAAATCCTATCTATAGGAACAATAGATATGCAAATGTCAGTATCTAGTGCCTTGTGACTATTAGCAACAAGGAAGTAGGCCAAAGTGCAGCCTGATTAATGCTTAATTTTAACTATATTTCTGTTCAGAACCTGCATGCAGTTTTTGTCAACCCTGTAGGGGCGGTTTCACGTGTGTCTTGATAGGATAAGCGCAGGACCCTGGGTTTCCAGTAAGTCTTCGTTTCAAACATGGATGAATCAAACCCTGCCAAACCTGTATTTCAACACATGAATGAGTCAATGCCCGTAACAGTATAACTATCTGTAAATCACAAAAGTATGAGAACTATCCTGTTGGGACAACTACTCTTGAGCAGACTAAGTTACTTTTAGCCTGGGGCTACATATGCAGTCTGTAATTTGGGATTTACCTGAATATACATATTGGTCAGATAGTGAATGTTTAATAACGAAAATTACCATTCTTTGAATCACAATATGACCAGGTTACAAAAAAATAATAATCTGAATTTTCTTGGAAGGAAAATTCTGTTGTGTAATTTTATTATTTAAAATGTAGTAGTCGAGACGCTGGGCACGGCGGCTCCCGCCTATAATCCCAGCACTTTGGGAGGCTGAGGTGGGTGGGTCACCTAAGGTCAGGAGTTTGAGACCAGCCTGACCAACATGGTGAAACCCTGTCTCTACTAAAAATAGAAAAACTAGCTGGGCATGGTGGCGGGTGCCTGTAATCCTAGCTACTCAGGAGGCTGAGGCAGGAGAATCACTTGAACCCAGGAGGAAGAGGTTGCAGTGAGCCAAGATTGCACCATTGCACTCCACCGTGGGCAATAAGAATGAAACTCCATCTCAAAAAAAAAAGTAGTAGCCGAGCACAGTGGGAGGCCGAGGCAGGTAGATTGTTGGAACCCAAGAATTTGAGACCAGTCAGGGAAACCTGGTGGGACCCTGTCTCTACAAAAAACACAAAAATTAGCCAGGAATGGTAATGCACACCTGTCGACCCAGTTACTCGCGAAGCTGAGGTAGGATCACTTGAGGCAGGGAGGTTGAAGCTGCAGTGAGCTGTAATCACACCCGTGCACTCCAGTCTGGGCGACAGACTGACATCCCATCTCCAAAAAAAAAAAAAGTAGTAAAGTTTTCAAGTTTGATGTTATAACACAAGAACAATTTCTGTCAGATGCTCCTATGGCCATTTCACAGGGACATTTGTATTACTAAATAAGACACCTTCAACTGAGCTCCATGGAAAGCAAGGCTACCTCTCTGCTTTAATATGGTAATAATACCACCAATTTATTCAATGTTCCTTCCTTGAATAGGAATTTACTAACACAAGAAATTCTTCCTATTTAATTCTTGGCCTTAAAAGTTCTTTGGAGGGTACTGGCATTTCATTAAGCAATTTCACTGACTGAAGCTTCTTGTGTACTATTTAAAGAAGATGCACAGTATTTTCAGAAGCAGATTTAAGGTTGTTGTACTAACTTATTTTTAATTTATAATATTTTTGTCTGCTCTTGCTGCTATACATAATCACTAGAGAAAAAATTGTCCTAAAAGTTTGGATCTAGAAATGTGACTATGAAACAATTTAATTGGCTTTTTTAGGGGTTGTTTGTTTCTTTGTTTTTTGAGATGGAGTTTCACTCTTGTTGCCCGGACTGGAGTGCAATGGCGCAATCTCTGCTCACTGGAACCTCCGCCTCCCAGGTTCAAGTGATTCTCCTGCCTCAGCCTCCCAAGTAGCTGGGATTACAGGCATGCGCCACCATGGAGGCTAATTTTGTATTTTAAGTAGAGACGAGGTACCACCATGTTGGCCAGGCTGGGCTCGAACTACTGACCTCAGGTGATCTGCCCACCTTGGCCTCCCAGAGTGCTGGGATTACAGGCATGAGTCACCATACCCAGCCTTAATTGGTTTGTTTTGGGGTTGGTTTTTGTTTTTTGTTTTTTGTTTTTTTGAGACAGAGTCTGTCTCTGACACCTAGGCTAGAGTGTAATAGCATGATCTCTTCTCACTGCAACCTCCACCTACCAGGTTCATGCAAGTCTCCTGCCTCAGCCTCCCAAGTAGCTGGGACCACAGATGTGCGCCACCATGCCCAAATAAGTTTTGTATTTTTAGTAGAGACAGGGTTTCTCCATGTTGGTCAGGCTGGTCTCCAACTCCTGATCTCAGGTGATCCGCCCACTTTGGCCTCCCAAAGTGCTGGGATTACAGGCATGAGCCACCACGCCCTGCCAATTGGTTTTTGAGTTAACAAAATAATCACAGTTTCCATCTGCATCTTGACTTTCCCTGTATATGCACACCAATTTCAGCATCTTCCCTTGCATAGAATCAAGGACAGATTTTTTTCAGCGTATATCATGTAAAATGTACCCTCATGGCACATAAATTTATTCAGCAAGTTCCAACAAACTCTTTTGTCTGCAAGCAACCATTGGTTATTGGTAAATCTTGCTACATTGGTAATATTCTCTGAAAATTACAAAATTAAAGCCTTTATCCGATCAGCTTTAGAAAGACATAATAACTGCTCCACCTTGCTTAAGTATCTTGTAAAACAAGACAATTTCAAAATCTACAACGTTTCGCCGGGCGCGGTGGCTCAAGCCTGTAATCCCAGCACTTTGGGAGGCCGAGATGGGCGGATCATGAGGTCAGGAGATCGAGACCATCCTGGCGAACACGGTGAAACCCCATCTCTACTAAAAAATACAAAAAACTAGCCGGGCGAGGTGGCAGGCGTCTGTGGTCTCAGCTACTCGGGAGGCTGAGGCAGGAGAATGGCGTAAACCCGGGAGGAGGAGGTTGCAGTGAGCTGAGATTGCGCCACTGTACTCCAGCCTGGGCGACAGAGGGAGACTCTATCTCAAAAAAAAAAAAATCTACAATGTTTCTGCTTGCTGCCAGTAATTTTCTTTTCTTTTGTTTTTTGAGATGGAGTCTCACTCTGGCCACCGCACCTGGCCAGTAATTTTGTATTACATCATTAATACATTAAGGTAGAG